ATGTAATTTTAATTTCCTTAGTTAGATTTAAACACTTCTTTCAGTAACTCGTGTGCTTGCGCCCCTTGGAGGCATTTTGTTTTTAATTTCCAATTGTAAAGTCATCGCCAATAAAAGAACACTCCTTTTTGGGACTTTGTCCCAAGAGGTTTGTCCCTTACACAATCGTCTGATCCTTTTTAATTGTTAGCGACGAACCCGCGCGAAACAGAGTCAAATGACCCCACAATTTTTTTATTTTTTATTTTTTCCAAAAATATATAATCATTTCCTTCACGGCTTACCTTGATGCATTCATTACGAAATGTCAAACGAAATCGAAATATTACATTATCAATAACATTTCGAAGTGCTCGCGGCCTAATTTTCTGCTTATTAATGGCGCATGAAATGGCAAACTATAACAAAAGTTACAGCACATCAAATTCGATCATTCCAAAGTAGTATTTCGATAATATGTTAATTTTAAAAATTTGCCGACAATTGTACGAATCCACAAATTGCCTACATCACTTTGAAGCTCGTTTCGAGGACTACATCGTAATTATATCGAATGGTCCAAATGGATATCGAAAAATAGTTAAACATGCATCAAACTTACATCTCTAAAAAAGACGTCTAATTCGTATTTCCTTGAAAAAAAAATTTAATTATTTCATTAACGTTTATTATTGTTGCTCAATAAATTTCTCAATATAATTTACATTATTTTAGTAGCAAATTTTACATGGAGTATGGCGTAAAAAATTTTAGGATCGCTATAAATTAAATGTAATTTAAATTACTTTCGAATTAAATTTGAATTTCATTAACATCCTATATGAATTTGAATTTTATTTCAATTTATTTACTTCCTACATTCAACTTGATTTACTCATCGTTGGCTAAGCATTTGTCACACAAGATGGTAAACAATAATACAAAAGTAACAAAATTCATTTAAAAATATTGATAATAATATAATTATATGAGGTTTTAAAAGTATCAAGATGTGTATATTACCATCGCAGTGGTATATTCACTTATTTTTTTTTATTAATATTATGTTGTCTTTTAAAAAGAAATTACATTTTAATTTTTGATCCACTATACAAAAAGTCGAGGTCCACCCTTGGCCTCTGCTCGACTAGGGGTGTAAGCGATTTGATTTTACCGATTTTTGACAGATTTTCAAATCAAACCATTTAAATCGGGTTGAGAGAAATTCAAACCTAAACCAAACCATTTTGAATGGTTTGAAAAAAAAAAACCTCAAACCTAAATCTAACGATTTGATTCGATTTTAGACCATCAATTTCGCCATATATTGTTTTGTCTGTCTACTTTTATATCATTAATTTATTGAATTCAATATATTTATATCTTACTAACAATAAATTTAAAACAAACTAAACTCCCTTTTGAACCAAATTTTTGGGACAAAAAAGTGAAAATTTGGACTGTTATCCCACAAGTCCAGTAGCTTTTATTGACCTACTGTTTTGTGTGTGGGACCCAACCTCCTCTCCAACGATCAATTTTTTCATTATGATGACATGGAAAATATGGCTCAAAATATTTCTACTATAAATTTAAATACCAACTAAATCAACGTGAAATCACAATAAACTAAAAATAACTTTTTTCATTTTTGTTCATCTTTTTTAAGCTAATGACGATACAATAATGCTACAATAGAATACTACTAAACTAGAATGAGGCCAAAAAAATATAATGATATCCAACAAGATCTCGTGATCATCATATCTGAAAAAAGGATACTGATTAGACAACGAGAATAACCAACCACAATAATAAAACAATTATTTATAATATCTAAACATAACAATTACACAAGTTTACGTTTGTATGATGTTACGAAACGCATTTAATTTCATATTTTTACCTTAGTTTGCTCCAAAAAAATTATTTATCTGAAACTTTATTCGTAGCAAATATTATCACCGGAGGTCTACGATCTATTTGTCTTCGATTTGGTATAATGGACTTCAATTCAACTTTGAAGAAGCGTGAAAAATCTGAAAAAATGTGTGGTGCCAATGACACAAGACTGTGTTAGGTGTCGACTGAAATTCATCTAAATTTTGAAGAGGAAAATGACTTTTGATATATTATGTTAGCCTTTTGATTATTAGATATAAATTAGGATTATTGGATAATAATATATCTGTATTAAAAAATTAAAAATTGACAAAAATACCCTCAAATGACAAAATTATTAAATTTTACATATTTGAATGAATTTAAAAAATCATTTTTTTCATTTTTTTATTTTTATATATATTTTTGTCTGTCGGGTTTGATTTTAAACCGCAATTAAAATTTTCAAACATAAACCAAACCATTTTGATTAGTTTAGTTTAGTTCAAAACCATTTCGTTGATCGGGTCCACGTGACACCAAACCGACGATTTCTAAAATACAATTTCGATTCGATTTTTCGATTCGATTTTTCGGTTCGACAATTTTTGCTTACAACCCTATGCCCCACTGCCCCAATAAATGACCATAATTTGGGAAATCATCAAAGAAGTAAACATCACCCTTAACAACATAAGCGAAACCATTGCTGATAATCTGCAGATCATGCCCTCCCATCACCCACAATATATTTATACACCCACTAAAACCCATTGCCGACCACCGCACAATGCATCAGAAATGGCTTCAAGTACTTCCCAAGGAGGCAAGCTTTCATCAATATGGATACACCCAACTCAATTTCAGCCTCCAACACCTCTTCAAAAACTCAAACATAGACGGTAAATTATCCTTACAAATCAATACCGATGACGCATGAACCTCCTTCTATAATATGCTCCAACTGAAACCTTCGCCACACATCTTGTCATTTTTAAGAAATTGCTAGCCGTCAAAAATGAGAAAATTGAGAAATCGCGTGGGGGAGGATTTGCACCTTTACACAAACATACACACACACACACACACACATATACAATAGTCATCATCGGAAGAATTGCACCACGGTCGACTGTAGCCGACGGTGCATCTTCTGGCTCTGATTTGCGATTGTTGGGGGTGGAGTAGGGGCTTGTTGAAGAAGATGGACTTTGTTGTGGGGTAGGTTGTTTTGGTTCTTTAATTTAAGGGGAAATAAGTTGGAATGGCCACCACTGAAATCATATTTGTTCAAAAGGCCTTTGACCGAAAATAACAAAATAAAAGAAATCTTAAATATTTAAAACTATCAAAAGAACCTTTTACCCTATCTTCTAAAATGAAAATGAAGGAAGAAAGAATTGGGGATTTCTTACCATTCATCACGTGAAAACCTCCCTTGGCTCCAAACTTCTTCTTCTCCAAATTAAAAACCTTCTTCTCTTTCAAATTCATCATCTTCGACATTTAAACTCACCATCTGTTTTCCTTCCACTTCAAAAGTTCAAGATTCTTACAAGATTATCTACAACAAATTTTTCGCCTCTCCATCTCCCACTCACAGGTTTGTCACCCCTCTCAAATTTTTCTCTGCTATGAACAGATATATTTGTATATGTATACTAATTTATAACTTGATGATGAATTGTTGAAGTTTTAATACTATTTTTTGTTGGATGTTGGGTGATTAATTAGCAACTGAAAATAGGGTTTTTTTTAATCGAGCTGATTATATACATTCTAAGACATTGCCAAAAGTGTCCTATGAACTCTGCATCTCGAACTAAAATAATGTGGAAATTCACGTAGACAAACTATTTTCTAAATTCTTGTGATGGAGATCATATTCCTAAGAATGTGTTCATCCCTGGCAACGAGTTCGACTAGTTTGTTCAGTTAGAATGTTTTGAACTGCACCATACTCTTAGATTTGCTGCTAGGTTGCATCCAACTAGAGATTGTCATGCATCATACCACAAACCTGTTTTTTACCATCACAGATATTGTCAAAGATCTTCTAGATTGAAAAATTAAACTCGATCTTATGTCTAGTTAAATGCTAAAGACTGATAAGATGAAGATATGTAATATGCTCATTGCTCTTGTTTATACCTTTAATTTAGTGCATCTCTTACTTGAACATATTCATTTGCCCCTTTCTATGAAAATTGTATTATCTGTACACAAAAGTTTCTTTGAATGTTTGGCATTCTGCTCTCCTCGATCCAAATTTTGATTTGCATTGTTGAGCACACCGCTCTTCAAGTGTCTTATACCATTGAATTATAGATCATTTTAACTTTATTTTCATGATTGTCATTCCACTTGAACTAATCTATTGAAGCAACATCACTCAGTTGAGGTTCATTCTAAATAAATACAAAGTCAAGGCTCTGAATTTGTCAATACATTTGAAAGTAAGTCTACAAACAAAGTTGCATCAGATGAAATATTTGCAATATCAAGTAATGTCATTTTTTTTGCCTATCCTTCTTCTAAGAGCTTTCTTGAGTTCACGTTGATCTTTCAAACAAGAAGTATATATTCATCATTATACACAATTTATAATACATTGTACTTACAAGTTCTATAAAGCACATAAGCTAAAAACGCCTAATAAGTGAATATCAAATAAAATATACTTTGTTGTTAGCAATGATAATACATGCTATTAAATTTCATATTCAAAAAAATTTCTATTACAAGAAAAACTAGAAGAACTAGGTAGCTTGTTTTAACATTTCTAGTTTTTATATTTGTTATTATGTGCTTTACTATCATCAGTTCTAATATTAGTACATATTTTATAATTTGCAATGCTATGGAGAAGATTCTTTAAGTAGATGCTACGATTACGACGAGATGCAGATTGCAAATAGTGCGAGATGTATATGAGAAGCTCGATACAAATTACAAAAACAAACTTAGTGAAAGCTGCTTTGGATCTCTCCTTAGGTTGAAGGACATAAAGTTGGCTTCACAAGTTATACATCAGTTATTATTGTGAAAGTTAAGGACCAACAAAAAAGAAGTTTGGTTTAAGATAGGAGAGAAAAATACAAAATTTGGGTTGGAAGAATTTATTTTAGTTACGGGCTTAAATGCGGGTGATGATAACGACGTAGATAAGACCTTGGGGGAAGAGTGTCGGATCGTGAAAGAGTATTTTAGGAATAGTGGGGGGAAGATAACGAAGGGAGATGCTTACAATGCATTTGTAATTTGCAAGAAAAGAAAGAGCGATAAGTATAAGTTAGGATTGAT